CGATGAAGTTTATATGCGCCGCGGAATAGGTAAATTTGCAACTTAATATTATTTCCACCATTTGCATTGCGGACGTGGGGTCTCCAATTGAGGTGTGACATAACCTTGTGCATAAAGGCGTAGCTGAATCATAGAGCTAGCTAATTCTCTACTTATCTATTCTATTTGCGTAGCCATACTGATGCATAAGTTTACGACGATAATGGGCACTTGTTCATCGATATATATACGGCTTAGGCGTCGAAATTTTTGCACATAGCAAAATGGCGTATTATCCGATTCGTCAGCCTCATGTCTTGCGAAAGAAAGACGATAAAACTTTTATTTGGTGAAATTAATGCGCCACGAGCTTGCATTTTATCGTTTCTTTCATGAACTCCGCATAGCCGACATCTGTACCCAGGTACTGCTCGAGAAGTATTAATTGCACTGTCAATTTTAAGGCGTAGACAAATTAAGGACGATGACCTACCCCTCCAACGTTATACCGAAGTATTGACGAATTAATACGTTAACGTAAAAGTCGTAACCACATTGTCACTATGACCTTGCAATGTTACGGAGTTTTCGATCTGCTCTTAGCGCTCTCTTTCCTCTGTAGCATCAGCTGCTGTACTGCTATACTATACTCACATGTCGGGTTAAAAGCGCAGTGCAGTATTTGTATCCGCGACCCCACGTTCAGGGAGCGAGTTTAATGTCTGAAGTGGATCTCTTCGCTCTTTCTTTTGAGGGGTCCTTTCTTTTTCTCTATCTCGACGTCGGTACCGCGTGTTTTGTTTATTTCTTTTCGATCGGATAAAATTGGAGATAATCTGAAACTCGTAGCGAGGCAATGTCATGTTGTCAGCGCCTCGAACAACCGTGATCTTAAGTTGCATACATAACGGATTTAACGAGTAATTCGATTGATAATTTTTGGGAGTGTCAGTTTGGTGGGACGAGTGTAACGTGGTCACAAAGCAGTTGTCAGCGAAAATATATACGTTTAAATTATGATACACAACTTTGGTGAAGACGACATGCGTCCTTTCATTGTAAATACAAGAGCACAATCGCCGAATACACGCCTTCAATCGAAGGTCCCTGAATAAGACAACAGCTTGCGGGAAAAGCTATAAAGATAGAAGATCGCATCGATTTAGACACGATAATATGTGTCGCTCAACATAAATTCTTGTTAAAAAATGCACCTCGTGGTAACGTAGTAGCGAAAAAGTAAACTGTACATGGCTACTTGCCTATAACTATTTACAAGACGAAGTTAACCTAAACGAATTGCCAGCCTCTGCCACAATTGAAAAGTTTTGAACAAGCCAATTGTTGCCGAAGCTGACTTGCGCTACAAAAATTGTGAAGATGTAACAACACTATTGTGATTTTAACTTCGTATACATGATATTGAGAGGACGAGAATCCAGGCCTATGTTACCTGAGCCACTTGTGTGTATAAGTTCATCATTGGTTGTGTTTCGATGTAATTATTCGCTTTTGCCCATTGCAGGAACCTTCTATAACTACTAAAATTGTTCTTAAATTTCTTATCTGTACATAGGTGGTTACTTGCAGAGACTGGTAATATCAAAGGATTGAAGGAAAAGTGTTTAAACGTAGATACACCTCGCACATACAAAAGCACTCCTGCAATAAATAAAACTAAGGAAGCAAATATATGTATCGGACTAAACTTTACCTATGGCTAAAGCATCTTAATACTTGTGTGTGATCCGCAGAAGTATACAAGAATTTATGACGTGGAAAGTGTCATCTACAGCATCTATTTTCAATAGAATCCACTTCTTACCGTACTTCTTTCCCCTGATTATCGACACACATCCAGTAGAATGGTCAAGAACGAGAAGTAGTCGTTTGATTACTTCAAACAATTGTGCGTAGCCAGTTTATACGTCAACCAGAAATTGATGATAAATAATTCTTGAAATTCCTATCGCAACGGCGATTCTCCTTACTTCGAGCGCGTAGGCGACATCGAAACTATGCAAAAGCGCATTAGCGACGACTATGTATGATTCTGGTAAATATTGCGCATCGAACAAATACAAGGCGAAAAGACGCGTATCACAAATATTTATAAATCTAAATGTGGTATTGATTGATATGCATAATGATACATGTTCCATGGAGTTACTCAAGGGTATATCGTATTAGAATTAGAGTCCTGACCTACCAGTAAATGTTTTTTTGAAAGAGGTTGCGTGTCATGCATAATGATACATGTTCCATGGAGTTACTTTAGGGCATATCGTATTCGAAATAGAGTCTTGATCTACCAGTAAATGTTTTTTGAAAGGGGTTGCGTGTCATGCACCAGTTTATACGCTCAGCTACTTGACGCTGAATCGATTGGTAAAAGCCACGCTGTTCGTATACTTTGATCCATTCGCATTAGAGCACATCCTATTGCAATATCGCTAACTTAATCGATCACGAGAAATTGCATGTCTTGTTCTACATTCGAGAATAATGACAACTCTAACCATCTTTTTTGACATTATCCAAGAAAAATCTGTCAATGGGCGTTTTGCGAATCCTTTACATTTGTACTCAGTACACAACAACTGAGCATGGTCATGCTGACCTAATTATGCAAATCAGTGGAAAAGTCAGCCACCATCTTTAATGGCTCTTTGGATGCTTGAGTTCAATGGCACAATTATTCTGTGACCATTCTAATTATTTCTGAGTCAAGGCGGATGCCGTGCTTCTCCACAAAGATTTAAAAAGGTGGTATACATCTGGCCAAGAGAGTGAACCTCGTGAGGTTTGCGTGCTTTATGTTGTAATGTATATGCAAATAGGATTAAACATGATGAGGAGTGGATGCCGCAATCAGCGAATGAGACCGTCATATTTGATCATCAATGAAACCGTTATGCGATAAAGGGTTTGAACTTGTTTAGCGCCAGGTGGAAGCTTCGGATGTGTGAATACTTACTCAATATATGTTAGTCTTAAATTTCCCTTCAAATAAATAAGTTGTTATTGTTGAGTTAATATTTACTTTTTACCACTTCACATTCTTAAATTAGGTGTAAAACCTTTACAACGTAATTTATTTATATTCCCACGTATGTACTTCGTTCTGTATCTTGTCAATGGATGATTATTTCATCACGATACTTCAGTGCATGCTCGCGCTTTGGTCACAAAAGAAGTAGCAGATAATGTATTTAGAAGGGATCTTATTTTAGACTTTGCAGCATCACCTGCCACATTCGTAGAATACTACCGGGATTGCTCCTCGTTTTGTATAGATTATCCATGTCATAATGAACGATCGATTATAATAAATTTATTCGTTCTCTGAATGAAACAATGACAATCATTGAAAAAAGATGTATTATGACGTTCCTTCCTGGTATCATCCTGATCATGTGCCTTTACAGCGTCCCACATTTCCAATGGGACACTATCCGCCATCTTTTCTAGTATTTACGCGCACAAAATGTCGGAGATCGATGTGGGTAGGCTGAGTACACAAAATCTACTCTGTGAAGTGATCGTCAAAGCATTTTCTGTCGCTACGATAAATTGGGAAGCAGTGTCACCGGTCACCTACATAAAGATCACTGTATAAATTTGCTTAAGTTTTCGCTTGACGATTCCCTTAATCTTTAGGCAGCTCGCATGGTGCAGATTTTCAGTAGCGCATTCTCATGTTCGAACAAGTTTTCTTACAGAGTTTTAGTCATAAGCGAGGTCCATGTTTAAGACTTGCAACGCTCGATCCAAGTCTTATCATCCAGAACACTGTCGTAAATCAACAAACACTTTATTGCCTGTTGTTCTTGCTTGCCAATCACTGTAGTTGACCAGATTTCGTTGACGCATTGTCATCTGCGATGTATACGCGGATTCTCCAACCTACAATACTACTCGTATATAGCAAAGACCATTTGGCTTTGAGTGTTGACAAATGAGCAATTTCCAAAATTTATTCCGGGAGAGCCCCATTAGAAGAAGCGTATAAATCTACACTTGACTTCTTTTTTCACAAATTCTATTTACGTCGTGTTGTCTTACTAGGGGCCTTACTCCGATTTCGTAAGGACTATTTTTCAAGCAGTCTTTAGATATGTATGTGAAATTACAGCTAGATCATCTCAGACCGTTGAGGATTTTGCCCTTGCAATCGAAATCCTGCGGCTCGACTTCAGACGCTGATGAACAGTGCACGTATGCAGCATTTGGACCCAGTTTGCCCACCGGCACGGCGTCTCAGCTTCCAGAATGACCAGGCACAGCGTCACGCTATCCGCAAAAGTCTCGACCCTGCGTCAACCAACAGTAGCCTTATTCCTCATAACTGAAGACTACGCTATCGCGACTAAGTGGTTGGCAGTGATAGCGTGGAAAGTGACGAGCCAACCTCTGCCGATCCCCTGACGACAAGGTGGTCAAGCGGGAGCGCATCTCACTGTAGCAGCCAGGCACTCGTCTGAGCTTATTGTCCTTACAACAAGTGGGGAAACGATGGTCACTGGGTTCATACCGTTACTGGACCGTCGAACACGACGAACACACTGTCGTTTCAGACCTGCTGGAACTCGTCTTCATGCCGTCTAAGCTTATTGTCCTTACAACAAGTAGTGACTAAATCTACGTGAGGACGCGAGGCAGAGGAGGTCGATAGGACAGCATTGACGGACGCAGAAGGAGGTAGTACATGCACATGACGAGGTGTTTGGCCTTGTAAGAAAGAGGCTCCGATGCCATGCGCCATTCTGCCACTTAGTGCAGAAGTGGTTTTGCGTCCGTCATGTGATGTGGCCAGAGGTTGTCTTGCGTTTCTAATTGATCAAACCCCTTCGCGACAAGGCAAACGCACTCACTGCCTTTGGCTTCGGACACTGAACAAACCCCCCACCACCGACGACCCTATTTCTAAACCAAAACCCCGTTGAGACCTGCTTTCTACCAGGTTTTATTACCCCACGCTGAAACTCGTCGTCACCTTCAGACTGCGACTTTGTATGGCAATGGCCAGTTCTCGACCAGTGATTATGCCACATGAACCCAGGAACGACTCGTGCGACAGCTCCTGCCAAGGCATCCGAGACCAGCAAACAGGCCAACGGGGGGACACGTATGAGACAACTATCGTCCAACTGCGCGTGCGAGTCGACGACAGCGACGACCTCGTGCCTCGTGAGACTCTGCTGGACTTTGAGTGCGATTGGACGCCAGGCATTGGCGGCTCGATTTGGACGAGTGGGGAGCTGCTGGCTGCGTATTTGGAGCTGCAACGCGCTTCGTACCGGTCAGTCTTCCACGGCGCTTGTGTCGTGGAGCTCGGCAGTGGCACCGGTTATGTCGGGCTCATGGTCGCGGCCTGTTTTCGACCGGCACACGTGTACCTGACCGACTTGCACTCGCACGTCCATGGCTTGCGTCGCAATGTCAAGCGCAACGCTGGTGCAATGCGGTCCGATGTACAGGTGCACGTCTCGGAGCTGAGCTGGGGGTCGTCCGAGCAGCAGACAACTTTGCTGGAGACGATCGCCTCGAGGACTACTGGAGGCACTGAGCACTCGGGCGCAGCTCAGGTGGATGTCATTGTAGGCACTGATGTGGCGTACTTGCAGGAACTGTACGACCCCTTGCTGCAGACGATCAACCGCTTGGCCACGTCGCGCACAGTGATTCTGCTGGGCTTGAACCGCGACGACACGGGGGTCGCGTTCTTTCAACAACTGGAGCGAGACGGGTTTGAGTACTATCGCATCCCAGACGCTAAGCTGCCACAGGAGTACTGGGGCCGCGACTTTGGGCTGTTTGACATTCGTCGACGACACGACTGCGTGTAGTACGTCGGTCGTCATGGCCACGACGACCTCATCGATAGACCCGAACTCGTCGTAGCAGCAGAGAAAGCAGAGCCAGCGCTACCTGGCGCACGACTAGTAGTGGAGTGGCAGCCTAATGCAGCTGACGTGCGTGCAATTGTAGTAGCCATTGACGACGATCAGTAAGTACCCAGAGCTAGAACTCAGTCGTGTTGTGGGCACGTGAATCGACGCCCCCACCACGCGATCCTTCCGACGTAAATGCGGAAAGGGTACTGGTCCCCGCCCGAGCGGCCTCTGCTGCCTGCAAGCCGCACGACTTTCGTGCGTGCGAACAGTAGATCGTGTAGCCCTGTGGACTCGTCAGGCGCGACTCGCCCATCTGATCCTCGTCCGTCGAGCTTCACTTTACGATTCCGACCAGCTGGTTGCAGCACAGCCCGAGTGCAGATGGTTCCGACTGGTCTTTGTACACGAAACGCCCCCTCCGTGGCGCGTGCACATGCAGGAAGACCGCCAGGCATCGAATCCATTCCTCAAGCGCGTCCAGAGCTCTGGCACGGACAGGTTCACACCAGCGCGCGGCTGCGGCCATTGTGCCGGTCGGTGATTGGCCGAAATGCAAACGAGGATCGGGCGAACCGAAGACACCCCTTCTTTATCTCGATACCGCACGGATCGTAGCCGTTTCATGACATCCGTTTTCGCGGATCTTTCCGCGCCCGTGCGCAATCGAGCGACTTGCCACCTTGCGCGCCTGTCTGCCCCAGCCCTCGCCACGATCTGCACCGACGAGCACGAGCTCGCCGGGCCTTTCTCGCACACGCGAAGAAACGCGGCCGCTCGAGCACGTCAGGGCCAGTGCGTCCTCGATGCTTCCCTCACTTGCGCTTCTTGTCGCGTGCCTTTTGTCCACTTTGCGCTCTCTCTCGCTCTCGTGCTCCGTCAGTCTCTGCGTTTCTTGCCCTCTCTCTTTGTAGTCATATCGTGCCGTGCGCGTGGTACCTTCTTTACGGTACACAGTACCACTACCTTTTCGCGACCCAAAACAAACACCACCACCTCCGACGACAGACAGACAGACAGACAGACAGACAGACAGACAGACAGACAGACAGACAGAGACCAAAGCAGCAAAAGCGGCTCAGAAACCCAATTGCGCCGCCATAGCGACAAGTCGACCGAAGCCCACACTCGGCCAACAACGCGTCGTGCGGAGCAGACGGGGGGAGGGCGCGCCAGTACCCCATGAGCAGCGCCGTGCCCACGACCGGCCTCAGCACCAGCGGTACTCCATGGCGCTCGCGCGCGAAGGCCGAGCCGCAACGCACTGCGCACACTTCGCTCGGCTCGTGGTTTCTGAGCAAGTTCACGGGCGCGTACAAGGGCAAGACCAAGTTCCTGCGCGACCACGAAGAAGAGGCGGCAACAGGCACAGCACGGACGACCGCAGCCGGCGCTACGGCCACTGCTGTGCGACGGCGGCCAGTGGGGACACTGAGTGCTGTGACCAATCAGCAGCAAGCGAACGCTGCGCGCCGCGGAGAGATGGGGCAGGCGCCGTCCACGCTGAGGCGTCAGCAGAGCTTTCTGCGGCAGCAGCTGCTCGAGATGAAGCAGCAGTCGGCCGAGACGCTGGCGCGCGCGCAGAAGCGGATCAACGGCGAACTCATGGACGACGAGCGAGGAGACGACGAGACGAGGGACAGCGACGCAGACAGTGACAAGGACAAAGACGAGTGTGGAGAGGAGGAGGAGGAGGAGGACGACGACGACGAGGGCCGTGCACGTGGTGGTGGAACGGGTGCAGCCGCGACGGGTTTCGTTGATGCAGCTCGAGAGAGCTGGAGCAGTGATCCTGCGCGGTCGCGGAGCTCGTCGTGTCGACGATCGCGGACGTCAATGCGTCGGCGGAGCGCTGCAGAGGAGCAGCAGGAGCGGGACGACGAGATGCTGGCGCACGAAGTGCAGCGAGACGAGTACTCGGAGGAAGCAGATCGACGCATGAGTCAGGCAACGCAGCTCTATGCGGAAGCGATTAGCGCGTTGGACTTTGCGTTGCGGCCAGGACGGAAGCGTCATCACAGTGAGCCGTCGCCCAAGCCGCTGCTGCTGGGAGTGAAGCGAGGCAGTCCGAACATGCCCAAGAGTGAGTGGGTTTGACTGGGTGGGCAGTTGTGGACATGTGGACGAGCAGCAACGAGCTCTCGAGTTGTACGTTTTGTGTTATGAAGACGCGTGGGAACGTCAAACGTGGACCTGGCGAAAGAAGACAGGGTGGCAGCTGGTCGAGACGTGGCGGAGGTGTGTGGGTGGGTGGGAAGCACAGCTGAAAGAAGGTGTCGTTGCAACGAGCAAGACGTTGCGGTTGCCTGGTACGATGAAACGATGGCGGTGGTATTTTATTTTAAAGCGACAAGATGAAGATGGAGGCCGTGGGAAGAGCACTAATTACAGTAGTAAGAAGAGAGTATGAAGCGTGAATAGCAAGCGGTGAATAGCTGTGTACATTGAAGTTCGTCCTTTGCTGTTTGCGACGATGAGCTTGACATGTCGTCGATTTCGGACCTTCACATGGGGCGACAACACTATGTTTATGCTGACTGCGTCTCTGTGAACAAGTAAACCACACTTCAAGTCAAACGTCTCGTACCAGTTGCGAAGTCCCAATTTGCGCACAAATTATAATTGAGCATAGAGACTTCTTGCGGTGAGTCGCAACTTCAAGTAGCGCTGAGAAAAGCGGTCGATACGGTCAGTAGGCCCCTCGTCGAACGACATAGTCCAGGGGGGCAACAGGCACAACGTGCGTGAACTTGTACCCCATGACACGACTGTTCCGCCAGGTCGAACGCTACGCGTCAAAGTTAAGCTCAGCAATGATGCACCGAGCTGAACCTTTGTAGTCAGTCGATGGACGTTCGAGTGGGAATGGGGCGGAGGATACGGACACGTTTTTCCAGTATGTTTTTGACTCTGTTTGCGTGTGGGGAACGAAAGTGTCCAACTAGAAGATGACAACCAAACTTCGTATCCACTCGATGGACACAGCGCTCTTGCCAACAGCCTCGAAACTTCGTATCCCCTCGATGGACACAGCGCTCTTGCCAACAGCCTCGTTCGGTTCTGTTTGGCAAGTTTGAAACTACTGCCACAGAGGAGCTGCATCGAATAGACGTGTGTGCTTTTCGACGGTCTGCAGGGCAGACGGGCACCCGTTACGTATCGACATTTATCACACGTGCGACAACTGGCAGGACAGCGTTCCGAGGGACATGTCGTTGTCGGGACGGAACACAAAGACAGCTGACGACATTGGGCTGACCCATAGGCTCGTTCCATGACAAAGGGACGACGTTTCGAAGCACCACCACGCGCAATGTGTGGAACCACATGCGCCACTTGGCATCAGTTACGTGGCAACGCTCCTTCTCACTGTCTCATGTCGCCCCAACCTTCACGCAATAGCGCGTCTGTCGCTCTTGTCAGCGCCGTTCCATGCGCTGCTTCAAACTTGTGTAGATGTTGGGAACGTCCTGTACGTCGCTGAGCACTAAGAAGAGCAATGGTCATGCTCTTGCTCTTGATCAGCCATCTCAACACCATTTTTATGACGCTCACCACGAAGCCAACCGCCGAGCTAGTGGCCATTCCAGCCACGCACCACTTGCAGTCATTTAACTTTGTCGTCGCAAGACGATCAGCGCTTTTCGTAGCGAAAGTCTGTGGGCAAACATGTGCATACTCGTCAAAGTAGCAACGCGTCGACAGAGTCCATTGTGTCGTGCAGGAGTGAGTAGCACCAAACATGCAGGACCTATGCCGCATCGAGACACATCAGTGCACTCAGTCGCGTGCTGGTCAACCCGCGTGGTCGTGTCATTGCGACGGGTCCCGGGAAAGCCCTGCGTCTATCGCTGCCCAAGTGTCTCGGACTCGAGCTGCAAGTTGTGGCAAGTATAACGCTGACTACGATACTCTACAATGCCCTCGAACGCATCCAACGTCTGCTTGGAGCTTGCCGAAACGGGCTGCAACTGCTTCACATCATACTGAAAGACTCGCGAGGCGATATTGCCATCGTGTCGGGTCGTAGCTATCATACAATTTGTGACTGCAAACGAGAGCCGGCGTGCAATGCCCTCGCACTGTTCTGGAACGAACGACATTGCCCCCTCGAGTGCATGCTGACTTCATGTCCGACACGCTCGTAGCGCACTTTTGATTGTGGACATCACGACATGAACGAGGAGCGCGTTTTCCCGCGAGCAACCAGCCCTTCTTGCACATCACTGTAGAAGGAACGAATGCTACACCCACACGTTGTGCTTTTGTCGATCGAAGCTAATGCGTGTGTCACGAGCTACTGTGCCCTCTTGTCTTGCCGCCAACGAGCAAAAGGACACACTGGGTACGCAGTAACTGGTGCACCCTTTGCGCAACGTCACACAGAGTCGCTCATCGGTTGCACCGACATTGTCGACTAGTTTTTCTTGCCTCTCGAAGACGTTCGACCGCTTCTCGCTTGCTCTCTTACTGAGAAAAGGAAGTGGCTGGTCACGTGCATGGGCGAGCGGTCCATGCCGTTCCAATAGTGACGGAACTGCAACATGAAGGACGAGTTACATCGTAGCTGGTCGCTCGAGCAGTACTACTCCTCCTTCCTCACGTACACGTACCCTGCGACAATTCTTGTTTACTGTGACCACGGAGTCCCCATCGAGGCGAGCGTACCTACCTACAACACGCGCACAGAACGCCAGGTGGTCTCAAACATCGTGGCTTCACGCAGCACGACACATGGTAGTCACAAAGCCGTTTCTAAAACGAAGACATGGCCACGCATTTCTAACGTGCCTCTGTCCTCGCCAGAGCTCGTCGTTCTACGCGAGCCGGAATCGCTCTCAGGGCGTACGGTATGCACTATTACTGATCCGCTCGACGAGGACATCAAAGTCTGGTCCCGACATGGCACGATAACTTCTTCGACACATGGTTCGAGTGACGAATCTCCGTCACAATGAGCGTCTGACGATTGGTCTCGACGCGAAATGATCAAAGTGCCAACACGTCTACGCGCACCTGTGGGGTACGAATGAACAGTATGTATGCATCTGAACCTGACTTCGAGTAGTGGCAGAGCGACATTGTCATCGTGCAAACCAGTCATCGGTTGTCGTCGCACCGACTCGTTGGGACACTACTGCATCTTCCATGGCACAGAGAGCTGCCGGGTCGTGGCTCTTCCGCGAGGCTGGCTTCTCGCACACTGGTTGGTGACAGAGAACGGTACGAAAGGACTTTTCGACAGCTCTTTTGCTTGTCGCTCGCTAGTGCTCTCCCACGCTTGGCATCCACTGGGATGTTCCTTACTCGCTCTTTGTAGCCCCGCGCTGCTCTATAGAACATGTCTCTACGATCGGACGATCGCCGTGCACATCCCTGGACGGACACTCGCCCTTTGTCATCGCTCCAAAAGAACTGTGGAGCGAAAGAAGCACCTCTCGCCCTCGATCGCAACTTGACAAAGTAATCGGTAGAAACGCGACGAGGAGGTCCCAACGACTCTTCTTTGCCAATCGCTTGGATCATTTGCAACGCCAATTTTCGTTGGCTAGAACCTGTACGAACGTGCGTGTGCTTCACTCGACTGCGGAGGACGAGTCCCAAAGACGTCGGCACCTGTACCTGCATGCTAGCAAGTTAGTTCTTTGTGTCGGATGTACATCGACTCGCCTTCCTTTCGGTGCACCACAATGCAGTGGACACACACGTTTTCCGAACTCGTATCGACTGTCATCTGGTCGTCTTGGTGTAGGTAATGGTTCCCGGCGGTGCTCGAGATAAACAAGCTCCGGAACGTAATGCACCTTCAAGTGATACTTGCGACACGTTTGCTTGATTGGCAGTAATGCAGGTACATGCGGCTCGTTGTTTCACGGCCGATCATGCCGCAGCACTGGAAAGAGCAAAAGGCACTCGTTTGCATTGTCACTCACCATCGCACTCGCACTCGGCGATCTCCACGACCAACAAAAAAGCGTCGGACCTTCAGGATGTGAACATTGTCCCTTCCTTTGTCCACCGTTTGTAATTGCGAGCTATCAAACGAAACTCGTGAGAAAAAACGAGTGCGCGGTCGCCATTCCTTCGCTCCCTCCGCTGCACTTTGCATTTTTCTCATTCGAGCGACGCAGAAGCAGCGGGGGCTACTCGTAACTCGCGAGTGCTCCACGAGTCCCACATAAGTTTGCCTTTTGCTATCACTCAAGGGTCCACGACGGGGAACACCGGTGTGGAAGTTTGAGAAAGACAAAGCGAAGAGCCTACACAAGCACGTCAACGTATTGCTTGCTACCTTTTGCACGAGCAACGAACGACGACCCTACCAACTTCTCTCGTCTTTTCTTCTGGAGGGCTCCTTCGGGCGGCTGCCGGCAGCGTCCAAGATCCCGTTAGTGTCATTCGCGGAGATCGCCCTCGCTAGGCAACCGACTGTGTGAAAAACAAAGTGCCGACAGCGTGAGGTGTTCCTACAACATGAAGTCAACCCGTGACTCAACAGAAGACAATCGTCGAAGTTTGCGTCGACGACTTTGCCACCCGGTCTCGAGTATCGCTTTGCACAACACCGAAGGCAACAGCACTGTGTCTGGCAGCGACATTGAGTCCTCGAATCAAGATAAGCCCGAAAGCGCTGTAATATCGCCATGTGAGGGACATCCCGTCTCACTTGCACCGCTTTCGATGGTTACGGTCGATAATATCCATGCTACTATCGCGCATCAATCACCTGTCGAAGCAAGTCCTACTGGAATGAGTCCCCACTTTGGCCTTAACACTCAACAAAGCGCGCGCAAGCTCCGAAGTTCTGGCGAGGTGATCGATCGCAAACGTCAGTTCAAAAGGATGAAAACTGGTACTTCGCAAGCCCAACAAGATGTCGTCTTCGGCATGCATCCAGCCGATGGCCCCGAGTGGGCAGTTCCTTCACCTGCGCTACGATCCAATACTTTCCGAGAAGCATACGTACATCAAGAGCTATCGCCATCACAGACAAATGTGAATCGCGTGCGGACTGATACTACATGGTCCGTCCGAATGTCGACTCGACATACTACAACAACGACTGGGTGGTCGCCATCAAGAGCTGACGTCCAAGAACAAGTATCAGGATCGAACGTTTCTCGGCATTCAAAAGCTGCGAGATCTCGTCATTCATCAGCAGTGAACCGCCCGATCGCAAACGCTACACGAGACATCACCTTTGCCATGTTGCAACCGCATTTCGAGCGGCCTTTGCAACAAGCGGCTGATAGCTTTGGCGTATGCACGACACTGCTGAAAAAAATCTGTCGACGGAACGGTATCCGCAATTGGCCGCATCGAAAGATCGGTGGGCTGCGCAAGAGCATTGCGTCCATGGCCAAGCAAGTGGAGCACTTTGATGGCGAGCAGAGACGTACGTACGCTAACCAGCTGCAGAAGCTCAAGTGCGAGCTTAGGGCGTACCTTTGCACGGGGAACGAGCCAACACAAGAGTTCTTGCAAACGCTCGAAGTTGAGACTATAGCAGATCAGCAACGAGAGGATGCGGTAGGAGTCAACAGCAAGACGGAAGGTGTACAGGCGATCCCCCTTTGGTCAACTAGAACGAGCCTCGAAGCACATCACGATAGCAGAAGCCTCGAAGCGCATCGCGACAGCAGTGCTCGGGTCGTTCATGACCCTATGCCTCGCCTATCTCCACGCACAATGGATAACAGGGATCGCACTTGCTTGCATCCGCATGGACTAAAGCTACAAGTACCTGTGTGTGAAACGCATCAGCGAGTACTGCCGTCAATCGCATCTATCCTGCAGCACCAAAGCTACTCCAGCCCAAGCCGTGCAGCCTCAACCCCAAGTCTCGGTACATTTACAGCCAGTGCTTCGCAGCACTACGAAAGAAATTCTGACCAACAAGAACCAGAGTGGCGATACTTTCCACCTGTTCACGACGATGCCGAGTAGTAGCGGTCTCAATATTTTTGATAGTAAACTGGTAGAAAGGAACGATTCGACTGACATATAAGCTCTGGGTAGTACAGTTGATCAATACAACGAATGCCTTCTTCAGAAAAAGATGCAAGGAAAGCGTTGTGCAGACACCTGGCTCACTCTTCGATGCATGTCAACAGGGCTAGTGAAATCACACGAACCGTTGAGTAGTCGTCCGCAAACTCAACGTCTATTGTGCGTGAGCTCAGGAGTACGGACGGGTACAAGGTGGGGCGATCCGAGCAAAACATGACTAATAAGCTCCAAGTCTCCTGGACACCGTGCGGTTCGTACTACAAAGGGCACCAAGTAAAATAGCGTCGCATCGGTTCAGATCGGGATAACTTGCGCCGATAACAAGTGGTCGCCTTGTGTCATACACAGTTGGTAGGAAAGGAGGCTGATTGGGTGTCGGTAACGTGGTAACTCTGTTACACAATGCTAAAATTAGTGAAGAATGTCAGCACGAATATTGTCCTCCATATAGTATCTAGGAGTAGTATGTTTGCGGATAACATTCAAAACCCATGGCGATTATGTTTTTCGTAGCTCGTGATACACTGCTCGTTGGCTGATATATGCCATCATGGCAGCGGATGGCACCACCTGTCAGTGCTGGACACGCGTAAATAGTATCGAGCAAGGTGACGACGTACGTGCTTGCAGTTTGATAAAGTTTATCTACGATTTTGAATGATGTTTTATCTCGACTTGACTGCATTATCGGCATTCTCTTTTACATCCAATTGAGCGTTTCTGCTTGGTGGATAGCGCTTCCTCTACACTCGATGGCGTACGTAATACTTTGGCGCACGGTCATCAGGGTAGATATATTATACTGCCATCTGTAAAAGCGACAAGTGTGCCTTTACACCTAGTAACATTTGGTGGTCCGCTTCGATCAAAGACTTATCCATCATGAGTTCATGGGTGCCCGTCACACCTCATACCCTCGTGGTCCTTTTTATGGATACGGACTTGTTTACCAAGCAGTGGTGGGTGATGATTGCTTTCAGGCTAATGTACAGGGATTCTGCATTTGATTGACCTCGAAAAGAATGCGATCAAATCTAGATCTCATCGACTGCCGGAGGACCATACATCAGTGCCATTCTGTTTGCGTTGAAGGGAGACGAGCAACATGTCGCAATCGCCAAGTTCGAAAATTGTAAACTTGACGCGGCTGAACATCTCATATCCTCGCTTCACCAGCAACATTTGCAGCAGTCAGACAAGTTGCGGAAAGTGGGCGCTTAATAGCTTAAACTCTCGAGAAAACAGCAAACCAACGCTACTGTTAGCGAGCCGAAGCCTGTGCAATGACCCGATGGCTTGAATACTGACATCTACAAGTTCACGCGGTCAGATAAGTCTTCTTAGTCAAAATTTGTCGAGCTCGACGACGCACACCAGATTTTGCTGTATCGAAGACGATGCAACGAAGATGAACGCGAAGGCTAAGCATGTCCAATTTACCTGCACGTGCTAATCCTAAAGATTTAGGGATCAAGCTGTAATAGCTGATCTGTATTCGAATCGCGGAAGACTTCGAGGAGAGCCCCCAGAAAACTTCGAGCCGCCACTATCCATATCTAGTGCTTGATCTGATCTCCTGAACTTGGATACTGTATGAAGGTGGTGTGCATGCTCAGCACACCTACTTCCGCGGGAGATATAGCACGTGTATACCCATGAAATACATGAATGGGATGCTGTTTTCGATGAGACTGTACATGGTGGCGTCACGATTTTGTGCTTCACCTGTAATAAGAGACGTTTGATCTGGCGATGTTCGTATCTTAATCAGAGAACTTCAATATGAAAAGACATTTGCTAACTCGGTTTCCTATCTTTCACCAAAATCGACAGGATGCGGATATAGATAGCGAGCTAATATTTCCACCACACTTTTCGCTATTTTCACCGTACTTTAAAAAGCTCCACCACATCACACTTTTAACAAGTTCGCCACACTTTTGACAAGTTCCGCCACTCCACACGTTAAAAGTTCCTCCACACAAAACTTTTGTTTGATTATAACAGCATCACAGCACCACACCATCTTACCACACCACCACATCATGGCGAAACTTAGCACCCAAACCGTCTTTCGAATCGAGACGCGCTTATAGACCCCACGAAGTTTGGAATGGAGGCAGGTTTCACATTCACAATCAAACGATCGGACAACAGGCGCAACTATCCGCGTGTTTTTACTAGGTTGTGAACTTGGTGGCTTATTTCGAAAGCGAAAGTCAGTCCTTGTGATCGACAAAAATCAACGTGATAGCGGGACGCGTCTGAGCGACTGCAGGTGGAAATCAGTTGGAATCCAGCGAAACGATGGATGGCATCATATAGTAAAGTGCGACGAGCATATCCACTCCCGCTGTATCAGCCTTGCTGAACATCCGAGTTGTCGCCGCCTGAAAAAAGATGCAACTGAGTCGGTCGAGAAGATGATACCAGCTGGTGTGCCTGCGCGCCAAATACTGACATCGCTGCGCCAAGAGGACCCATCATTTTTAACGATCGCAAAATCAGTATACAACGCCAAAGAAAAACGTCGTCCCGTTATATTAAACGGCAGAACGCCTATAATAGCGCTGATGGACGATCTTGAATCCAATAAGCTCTATCGCGAGCTTGAATGCAGCAATGAAGGCAGGACGAAATGACACATTTTTGCGCATGTGGAATCTGCGACGCTCACCAACCAGTTCAGTTCAGTGCTCATGTTAGACTTCACATACAAGTCTAACCGGTTCCAAATGCCGTTGATGCGCTCCGTTGGTCGCACAAACTTAAACACTAGTTTTTCGATTGGATGCGCCTTTCTTCGCGGAAAGATAAATTTAATTACGTGTGGGCTTTGAAGGAGGTTGGCCAGCTGTACATCACTGGCGCACTTCCTGCTGTGGTAGTGTCCGATGCAGACGCGTCATTAGCAGCAGTATTGGCACGTGTAGCTCCTGTCTACGACAACCATTTGTGCTTATGGCACTTTCGAAAGAATGTTTTCGCAAAAACAAAGGCATATTTCAAAGAAAACGACCGCCACGGTGCACTCGTGCAGATGTGGACCGGCATTTGTCGTGCCCGGACACCTAACGGGTTTCGAGTACGCAAGGATCAAATTCAACCGAATTTTAGAGTTTCCGGCAGTATGCACATATCTCAGTAAGACATAGCTTGTGCACAAACAGAAGTTAGAAGCAGCATGGCCTAGCGATTGCCAACATCTCGGTAATACTTAAGCATCGACGGTAGTGGTTGCTCATGCATCGACAGTAGAGGATGTTCATGCATTACTGAAGCGATACTTTCAGGTCAGCAACGGCGATATGAACAGCGTTAAAGAGCGCATCGCCCAGATTTAAACACATCAAGTCAACGAATTCCACGTCGCTGTTGAGACGCAACAAGCGAGAATGCCGCATTATTTGCGAAAGATTCCGGTATATGCAAATTTAAAGGCCCCATATCACAGCACGCGCTGAAGCTGATCTATACGCACCTCGATTGGAAGTTCCGCAGCGTTGAGATCATTCAACCATTACAGGAATGTAGTGAGGCATTCCGCACAACGCTGGGAAGGTAGTTAGGTTCGTAGCACGCTAATGATCCAGCAACGTTAAGGCATAAACCAATTATTTAACAAAATTCCTTCTGGCACACAGCCGCTGTGTGTGGCTGCCGGTGAAGATAAGTTATATCATATCATATTATTCATCGGGGTGACAGAAGGTATGTCAGATCTTGCCATGATTAATTATGCGTAGGTGATAAATATCGTAAAGAGGACGTCGCTGGGTGCTCGCAGGATCAAGTTCATCGAGTTCTAGATTCTTCAAACAGAAATGACAACATGCTTCAGAAGAGGCGCACCCAAAATGCAAATGAATAATGCACCAGTAGTTTGCTTTTTGTTAAAGTGGAGTATGTTGATGAAACCTAAGCATAGAATTCGGATACCACATATAACGTCATCCGCAATTCAAAATGGTTCAGACGATACAGCCATAAAAAAAGCTGACATCTCCATCTCTGAAGATGCCGTGTGTTGAAATTGGATTCGGGTTACCTACTAATGAATGTCTGGTTGAGGCTTCAAGCAAGTGGACCAAATCTTTACGAGATCGTGCTGTCGATTTATATAAAAGTTCTTCTGTCCCGTGCGTGCCCGCTAATCGAGCATCCATGCCAGGTTCACTCGACCAATTTAATTTGTACACCTTCGGGGATGACTGTGCAGTCTACGCAGCCCCAGCGACAGTCACGATGCTGTAAAGATCTCCTGATTCGTATCATTGTGCGATTGTGATAAAGAACGAATACGAGTCAGACCATCGCAATATTGCGAAGGGCGACTGCTTATCGATCACGTGGGTCTGACATTGCAGTTCAGGAACAGCTCCTACACACACTTTCGACAAACTTCTAGGACGGCAGACAAACAATGTGCAGGCCAATGTGAAAGGCAAGGAGCGAACGTGGAGCTTCATTTGTCGAGATAAGCTCAAGCGCGACAGGCAAGAACGAGGTGAGACTGCAGTCGAGCGCTGAACGACTGGCCACAGTGACCGTCCTACATCATCGATCACTTGCTATCTTCTGCTCGCTTTCGTTGTGCGTGCAACACGAAAGGGACATTTAGGATGTACGACCTCAAGCCAACTTACATCGTAGTGACCTTACATGGAAGAACGAATTGCCGTCGAGGTATCAAGGACTTGCATCGGTAGTCTATGTCCTTGCATCACTCGCCATTGAGCTCTTCCAAACCATAAACAGAGTTCTATAGCAAGATGTACATGGAAACCTAGCACGCCTGATTAAGCTCAGCCCGAAGACGACGAGATGCCGTCCGCCACTTCGTTCGCAAGTTCACTTCAAGGCCTCTTGTCGTTTGTGGCCTGTACGCAACAGGAAGAGCTGCAGGAGCTCCGAAGTCACGGCTGTCGCTGTGTGTTCTACAGCACCCAAACGCTCACATTTGCGGCCATTGAACGGGATGTTTACAGCGACCAGACTGACAACACGTCGAGCTTCTCAGTGACATGTCTCGAGCATCTGCTGCACTTGCTGCAGAGTCAGCTTCGGTTCCTACTGAGCGATCAGGGGCTCCATGTGCTGCAGAGACAGCCAAACTACGACTTGTGCCAACGTCTCCATGGAACGGAGCGAGTCACGCGGTCGTTGACGGGACTTTGGGCAGTGCATCCGACGCTGCGATTCAAGGACTTTGGCGTGCCGTTCGTTCGGCTGCAACTCGCGGGACGACGGCAAGTCACGAGGATGTTGGCGGCAGCAGGTGAAGCAGAGACGGAGCACTTGACGTCTGCGATGATCTGTGCGGTGTTGCTAGCCAAGGAAAAGGTGGTGGCGATCGCGCAGCCAAAGAAGAAGCAGTTTAGCATGCGCGTGGATGGTAAGAGATGGCTTCTGATGGCTGTGCATGGCGTTGGTCAGCGGAGAGATAAGTGGAGAGACTATTTGTACTGACAAGTGTGCGTGTTTGTGTGCTGTCGGCTCGTTTGGTTTGCAGACCTTTTGCTGCTCATCGACTTTGTTTACCACGCGCCGTCACTGGCAGCGTCCGAAACGTGGACACCCGTTTGCCTGCCCCACTTCAGTCCTCGGTACGTGATCGTCGGACGAGTCGATGAGCACTTGTTGCTGTTATAGTTGAAGTTGTTCATGGGTTTCATCCGTTTGTTGACGTGCTGACGCTTGACGTTTTTTGTGGCTTCGATTGATCTACTTGCACTCTGTCTGTATGCCTAGAGGGTTCCTGTATGCGTACGTGGCGTTCTTGACGACAGACGTGTGTTTGCTGCTACTAAGCAGTCAGCCCTCACCCGAGCAATGTCCACACTTTCAGGCGAAGAAGGTGTTTGTTGCGCGGCGTCTCGAGGACAGTGGGGCTATGGACGATATCCGAGCTTCACTGAGGAACCATTCCGAGTGGCGGCCCCATCGAGATCTGCCGTTGCTGCTCCACTTCATCTACAAAAACGAACTCACGGGGGAGTGTGCTGAGCCTGCGTTGGGGTTCCCCTTCGACGATGCGGATTTCCACACGCGTCTGCAGCTCTTGAATGCGTACGCCACGGTACATCATTTGATGTTCCCGAGTCTAGCTGACCCGCACAGCCTTCGAGCGAGTCAAGTCCTGGCGGAATGTCTTTTGTCTTTGCAAGACGATACGGCAGCATCGTCTTGCAAGGACAAAAGGCGTTCTGCGGTGGGTCGTGAGAGAAACGCTGATAAGGAGTGTCGATACCTTTGTGCAAGAGCTGCGATTAGAAGCGGCAGCGGTACAACAACAAAGTCGCTTGAAAAATTGCAGAGGAGGAGTTGTAATGGTTTGTGTCGACGACACGAAGGCAACAGAGGAGCGAATAGAGTGCGGTTGACGAGACGTGAGGGAATTCCTGGAAGCGATGTGGTCGTGGAAAGTGATTGCAGTGAATACACATTTGCGTCATTGTGGAAACGAGACGCTAGCGAATGATGAAGCAGCTGTAGTGTGGGGTAGCGCTGAGGAACTGAAGGTGGCGAAAGCAGAGGTTGGAAATGCCGTGATAAGAAACGTACTTGTACATTCAGATGCTCTTAGGTGCAAGCAATGCAAGCTCGCATGGCACGATTAATTTATAGCGACAGGTCAGTCGATGGCAATTATCGAGGAAAACACGTCAGTGACTCCAGCCGACCTCGACCCATTGTAGCCTGAATACTTCATACCAGGACGTATCTCACCAAGGTATTCAAACGTAATGGCTTCGTTCCCGTGACTAGAACATCAAATGCACGAACCACCCTATTCGTAAGACAGCACTGCAATGTGAACGAAGTGCGTATTAACCACACTTGCAGACTTCATGTACATCCGAGGGCATTTCGTTTCTCTTGTGATCATTCGTCGCCCAGCACCGTAATGTCAACGCCGACAGGTGGTTCAGTCACTTCCAACATACTGATGGAGGAGTCAGATCCCCGTTGACGGGTATCAGAGATGCCGTCACCTGCACGTTGTTGCTGCAATGTACTTGAGAACAACGAAACTGCTTCCACCACATGAGGTGCTTCCCGATTCTCCTCATCTTCCACCTCGTCAATCAAATCAAACTCGTCATCCTGCATTCCACCATACGACAGCACTTCGTCTTCCTCCTCCACGTCATCCGTGATACGCCCGACGAGTGTCGAGAAATTCCCAACCATTGACAGAGCTAGACTCATATCCGATGTCCTACTACGCGTCGCGCCATTGGTTTCAGCAAAAGTCTGCGAGAGTCGTGTGGAAGGCAAGCCATAGTTGCGGATGTCACTCCGTGAACTTGTGCAATAGAGACTGTCCGAAGTCGGAGGGCGCATGCGAAGACTGACTTCGTTCAGTACCGGGGGATTGTAAGACCCAAAAGCTGACGTGAAGCTATCACCCAACGTCGAGAACCCTCCACGAGGCTGCACATCACGACCATTGCCATGACCGCCACCGCTAAAGCTGGATGCGTGGCCACCACCATATAATCTCGGATACTGGTGCTCACCGTGTTTGAAGCGGGAGGGGCGAGTACCAGACTTGACACTGCGGAGTGGACCCTCGACACCAATGCCGTACACTTCTTCACGTAGCGCATCTAGCAAGTGTCGTAACGACTGACGAAAGCCCATCATGTCACCCTTCGTGAAGAAGTGGAAGAACGTGCTTCGTGCGAGGCTGTACTTGATATCGAGACCAAAGTCCATGTGGTTCACCACTACGGGTAGGATGTTCTTGCCCTTGTCCTCGGCAAACGCAAGTTGGTCTTTTACGAGTTCGCTGGCCAGCGTCTTCTCAGACACAAGCACCACAAACGCTGAGCATCTGAGAATGGCTTCCTTTGCGTCGTGGATGCGCATGGACATATCTTCGTTTCGCGGTAGTATCAGACGCATCGACTTCTTCTTTTCCAATTCCTCTTCCTTGTCTTCCGCAATCGTCGTTGAAAGCTCCACTATGTGCTTACGGTCCACATAGCACCTGAGGCCGCCCTCACGGCACATCTCGACGCACAACTTTTGCACAAACCGCTGGTGATGGTCTCCGTGGCTGATGAATACGAATTGTTCACCACTGGCCGTCGCCGTGTTCAGCTCCTGCAAATCCTCCACAATACTGTCGCTAGCATCCAGCCCGTCGGTCTCGGTAAGAATAGCGTTGTTGCGACTTCCTTGCTTATGCTTTTCGCTACCGGGTGCTTGGTGAAAATAGTACCCACCTGTGTCGAGCACAATGCTATCAGAAACGCCGCAGTCATCAACAAAGCTGTTGGAACTGCTAGTACTGCTCAAGATGCTCATGTTGGTGCTGGTGTAGTCGTAGGCGTTGCTAAGCCACGGGCTGCGCTGGCCAGTCGAAAACACGCCGTTGGATCCGATTGAATGAGCAGATCCCGGTGCACCACGACGACGGCTGTTACCGACCATGACGGGCATTGCTGAGCCGTCATCAACTTCGTGAATCGGTGAGCTATACGAATCGTTGGCATAGTAGCCGGGCATGTCGAACGGTGCCGCTGTCGGTGCTCGCTCATCAAACTTTATCGATCCCATACTATTCGTGTACGTGTAGCTCATCTGAGACGCTGCGCGATAAATGCGGCGGCTGCGCATACCGCTACCTCCATGGCCAGACCCTAGCGTTAGATTTGTTTCAGCACGACGCATGTTGCGCTTGATATTTTCTTCCTTGCGCTTTTCAATTTCGTCACGCATACCATCCAATAACATCCGTAGCTGGTTCTTGTACACTCCATCGTCGTATTCATATCGGATCTCTTTTTCAGTCACTTGCTTCACGTGCACGATAGCAACTTCAAACGGTACAAGCTGTCGTGTGTACAAATACACTTGAAGCTCCTCGGATATCGTTGCATGCTCCGTAGAAATGGCCATAATTGGTATGCCAACTTGTTTCGCTAGTGCCAATTCCTTCAGACACCACTCAGACGACGCGTAGTCCTCTGTTAAGATGCAAAGCACTACTGCAGCATTTGTGATACCACGTGCAATCTCCTCTCGCCAGACAGACCCACCACCGATTCCACTAGGATCCATGAGATCAAGCCACACGGTAATGCTGGCATCTTCGAGCGATTTGCGAAGTTTTAACGCAAACTCCTTGTGGGAGTGCGTGTAGCTGATCATCACGTCTCGAGTGCCTGCTGCTCGCTTAATCTCGAACTGCAGTCTCGTCGACGTAGTGCAATCAATAGGCCGAAAGCCGTTGTGGTTCGTGCGCATGATGTCACCTCCCATACTCAGCAATGCTAAGGCTGTTTGTTGATCGTCCAACTTCACCGCCAAGTGCAATGCTGTGTCACCTGTCGAGTGCAGCTGATGGTTGATATCACCACCACTAGTAACCAAAGCCTTGAACATATCGGCAGTAGTCCCGCCAGCGCAAGCAGCACACATAATGGGCGTCATATCTCCATCATCTACAATCGTTGGGTCCCCTCCATGCGCCAACAGCACCCGCACAATATCGACGCGATTCACACGGGCCGCCCAATGTAGCGCTGTACGTCCATGTGCATCTTGAAAATTAGCATCAGCTTTCGCAGCGAGCAGAATCTCTACAGCGTCGACTGCACCATTTATTGCTGCCCAATGTAGCGGTGTACGCTTGTTAAGTCCAACGTAGCCCAGCTCACCTAGAACGTCTGGATTCACTTTTTTTCGCAACAAAGCTCGGATAGTTGCAACGTCACCCATAGCTGCGGCTGCATGTAGCGGTGTCAGTGCAACGTCACCTCCCCAGTCTTCAAGTATCTGCGCAGCGGCATAATTACCTCGCAAGTATGCGAGCTGCAACACTGTGATGGTGTTCATGTGACCGGGATCTGGAATGGCGAGATGATTTGCGCCTGCTCGAAGCAGCACGTGCACAATCTCGGGGTGGTCGGCCAGAAAAATAGGTGGCAAACGGCTTTCCGAGCGGTATGACGACTTCGAACAGAGGTTGACGTCGGCTCCGTGGGCAACGAGCCACCGCACAGCGGCCAGACGACCGGTGCTCACAGCGCAATGCAACGGTGTCACCAATGTCGTCTTGAACACGGAGCTATACGTCTCGTCAGCTGAGACAACAGGTTTCTGGATAAAGTAGCTCGCAAGGTACAAGAACAGATCACCTGTAGTAAATCGCACACGCGAGACCTTGTCGAACGAATTGACCTGAAAACGTGCCTTGAATAGCAATTCCATGGCTGCAATGTTGCCCTGATACGCGGCCACATGCATGGGATTCTTCTTGGCAAGCCCAAAGATGCCAAACACCATGACCGGGTCGGGGTACAGTTCTTTCGCAAAGTTCTCACCTAAATGAAGCTTTGCAATACGAATCGAGCGCCGAATCAGCCTCAGGTCACCAAGCTGGGCTCCACGATAAAGTCTCTTGCGAACGTCCTTGACAACGACCGATTTGGTTGGAGTCAGTGGGGAAGCTTCCGCATCGTTGCTGTTCTTTTGCTGCTGACGTTGTTTGCGCTTCATTTTCGATCGCAGCATGTGTGCTTTGACGTCACCCGTCTGATCACTCTCTTTGAATGCACCCAATTGCATCTTGAGATGTTCCCGGAATCGAGCAAAAGCGCGCATGAGGACGAAAAGCAGCCAGAACATGATGAGTGCACCGCCACAAAAGACATAGGCTTTGACATCAGGGTCGCAGTTGATAAAGATGTGTCCGCTTGCAACGTAATAGACAAAGTAGCCGAGAATCAGCGCTTCGTACACGAAAATCCAAGCGCCCACGAGCTCACAAAGCTGGAAACAAATCGTCCGCTTGACTTTCTGCAGTCGCCCACCGCGATCAAACCGCTGTTCTCTCCTAAATGGCTCAAACACCCGGAGTCCCGAAGCGGGCAGTCCTATTATGAACACAGCCGGGAATAAATGGTACACCAAAGCTGCTAGCGCCAGCGACGTCGAGCAGCTCGTTTCGTTGCTCGATACCAGGACTTGTAGTGGCGAGCCGACGTACAACTTGCCACGTAAGCCGCCCTGACCGTCGCCTGCTTTGTAGAAATAAAAAAAGCCGAGCGCCACAATGTCCCCAACGACGATCAGCTGCGAGAGACGCAGTAGTCGCCTGGAAAAGTACGAGTTGCTTTGGAATTGACCATTGAGGTACCGCCTCGGCAGACTCGACAGCTCCGAGTTGTTCCTCGGCGCTGAACCCATCTGCATGGGGCACTCTGTCACGCCCTCTTTGCTGCTCGGGTTCGTGTCTTTCCTCGCCGGTGCTTCGTGTCGCGGCCCCACGTCGTCTGTGCGACTAATGTCCACTGCAGTGTCATTGTCCGCCTCCCACGTCGCCTCTCCAACGCGCCCGTCGCGTCCGTACGTCCCGCGCCTGTCACGAACACTACTGCTGCGTCGTCTGCGTCTCTCTTCTTGACCGCCTTCGTCCCCGCAGTGCGTCTTGGCCGCAATGGACCCAATCGATCCCGTCTCGGCGTCGCTGTTGAACGTCTCTTGTCTCGTCACGCGCTTGGGCGGCGTCGTGACCTTTGTGTACGGCGTGTGCGAGACGTCGACGGCCGACGTCTGCTCGGGCGAGCGGTGGGCGTTCGAGGCCATGACGCGCGGGCCAATCGGCGGCCGGAAGATCGATCGACGGCTGGTCCGCGGGCTGGAAGCGAATGTCCCGAGGAGCGACTTAACCGATTAACTGAGCGAGTATTGACGGAGCGAGTGACTGAGTGCCTGACGACGATATGACGGACGGACGGACGAAAGGGGTGATATGACGGACGGACGAAAGGGGCGATATGACGGATGGGCGAGGGACTGGACTTGAGTATGGGACGTGGGTGGAGACTTTCGGGCGCGGCGGTGATGAGCAAAGCGACAGCTGACTTTATTGCGCACGCACATAGACGGGAGCGGGGGGGGGGGGGGGGTCAGGTCCAACTGTCTGACTGACGACTCACGAGCGGCAGCTGTTGGGGGCGTCTCTAGAAACGTGCTAAACTATGGACATTTGTCTGTCAAGAGAACGAAAGCAGAGCGAGCGAGTGAGTATCAACGGGTGGACGAAACAGTATCGCCGAATACGGTTATGCTTGACATGTTCTTCTTTTCCCCCGTAGTAACGATACCACCTGGTGGACGTTTGGCTCTATCGTTACTTACCGGGTCGACAGAGCAGAGCAGCTCGTCGTTGCGGCTGTAGGTTCAGGTAGTGCGACGATCGGAGGCACGTGGTGTGAGCACGACTTGCTCCATCGATTAGAAGTGGCTTAGGTAGTGTCAGCTGGCTCAATGAATACGAGTGCGTATGGGTGGACCTCGCGGTACCACATGTGACTCGTCAAGATCAGTGTGTGAGGCTCCCGCGCTCGTGACGAAAACACACGAGCGACAAACAGCGACAATGTGAGCACGAAACACGACGACTAATGCGCTGCGGATCGGATTCGTGCTGCCGCTTTTGCTGCACAACACAACGACGTCGTTGCCAGTGGTTGGCAATGTTCCGATTGCCACCGCCCTTCCTATGGAAAACGCTTGGCTTGTTGTCGTGAAAGATGTTGGTGTCGAGCCGGAACTCGCTGGCAAAAGGCTGACCCTACAGACGATTTGCGCCTCAGCCGAGCGAGTCGTTGCAACCCCTTGACGCGCGCTTTCCTGAAGTACAAATGGCTGTCTTTTGCCTCGTAGTCGATCGACAAATGCACTTTCATTCGACGGGGGAGCTCGCAGTTGTGGTCAATGTTTATTGGACCTTCCTCGTCAAGTACTTGACCCGCGCAGCTTATCCGCGCTTTTGCATGTTGTGCTATGATCGGTCACTCATCCTGCAAAAGGTATTCCGGAGCACTTGAAAGAGAGCGTATCGACAAAAGCGCCGCATCCACGAGTTTGCTTACCACCTGCCGATGAAACGGTACTTCATCCAGTTACTGATCCTGACGCCTGTTGTATGATATACGCGAGGACTGCGGCGCACGACCAGCGAGAAAGATACTGCATCTGTCGACAATGAGTGGGATCAAGACTTGCAGCAGTGTCGATCCTTGACCCATCACCTTCTGGCTCACCTCGTCGAGTCAACTTGATCGACCGTTTGCTGCAGGATCGTCCGCTTTGAGCACCTCAGGCGGAGCAACAAGCTGGAACAGGGACAGCATAACCGACACGAATGTGCGCAAGATGATGGCTGCACCACAGAGAATCAGGCCGTAAATCAGATACACATCCACAAGATACGTCCTGTAAAGTGGCTGCAGATTGCACATTGGCAGCAAGTGACGAGACCCGAATTCAGCCACGGCCAGCAGCTCATCCACAGCACGTTCCACCCCTCCACCAGTCTTCACTAGCTCACCGACATGCTCGGCATTGTCTTTGAAGTGCTCTTGTTCGTCAACTAGCAGCCTATCCACTGCCAGGCGGATACTGCTCTCGGACAGCGTTTTCTCATCCAGTTGAAGACCAGCACCCGCTCGCACAACAGCGTTCACACCTTCCGCCTGCTCGGCCGAGTGAGGAAGGCCCAAGATGGGCACGCCCACGACGAGGGCTTCTTGCATACTCTGAAAGTCTCCTGCAGTGATGAACAGCTCTATCCCGGGGACAAGTGCAAGTACCACTGCATCCTCCAGTCCTTCACTGAGAAACAACACCGAATCGCGGGGACGTGTGCGCAGGTCGAACGCTGCCTTGTCTTTCGCTGTCGTCTTCCACAATAGCCGGGCATGCACGGTTTCTAGTGCGTTCATCTGCACACATTCCACGCACAACGAAACAGTCATGAACGGGTCAATAAGCGAGCCATTGAAAATAGCACGCTACGTACGATAGTTGTGAAGGACTCGGAGGTTGAAGGCACGTCAGTGTAAAAACTGATGAAGATCAATGGTTTGTCTTGGTGCCGTGGCGTCTCTAACCAGGCCGTCAGTGACGCTGGAAACCTGCTTTGTCTAGTAGAAATGCCCTCAGTCTCTGCGCGTGCACGCTGCAGCTTGGGCGACTGCAAGAGGCCTACCATTTGGAATTGAGGCGTCATCGGACGCGCCTCATCCAGTCCAAAAATCGAATTTACTAGTACGAGCACCTGGCCGTGCATTTGATGTTTGCTCTCAATAGCGTTGAGTCCATGTTCTCGCCGCACGGCATTGATTCCCTTGTACGCATTCACTAGTCCTAGCCGAAAACGCAGTCGATAGTAGCTGTTCAAACACCGTTCAAGCACACTCAACGTCTGTTTCCAAACAACAATCGCAGCAAAAATCGTCAGATCATTCGTGCGCGTCAATACGCCAGTGCCCTCCTCACCCTCCACTTCACAACTTCTTACGTGCATAGTATATCCGGAAAACGGTGCGGGAATGTAAGCAGGGGGCGAGTCGATATCCAACAACAAGTGCGGATCGTTCACAGCATAGGGCAGCTCCAGCTGATGGCAAGCGTCAAAGCCAGCAAACGTGTATCGGTCTACTACCACAAGATCCGGTCGATCGCGGTCGAGGTGTTCGTGCAATGGTCGAAACATTGGTCGCTGGAACGACGCATAGTACCGCAGCGTATTGACGTGATTCTCGTACACGCCGACACGTTGCAAGTCCTTCGGATCCACCACAGCCGCTCGGTCTGTGCTCGAGATACTGCCCAGAGAAATGAACTCGAGTCCTTCCACATCACCCGCCCATTGGCGACAGTCTTCAGGCAGCGCGAACCCCACGCGAACCCCACGGGACAGCAACGTCTCGGCCAAGTGCTTGAGCGGCAGCATCTTGTCCAGCACAGGAATGCTCACCAAGACAATGTAGAGGTCTTTAAACGGTACCAAAACAGTGGCCTGCTTGTGTCCAACAACGCTCGCACGGGCGGCTGCAGGGGCTCCACAATACGTTACGCCATACAAAAAGCCCAGCACCAGTACCAGCCACAGCTTCACTTGCCATGGCCACTGCCAGCGTCGTCGGAACGCCAGCACGAAGCTGCTACGGGATGGAGGCTTGCGCCGAGAGGAGCTCAGGAGCTGGACACGCTGGATGTGCGTTGACTGGACGGCTACAGACCGCAGCGTCGAGAGCCCGAGCCGCTCGGTCGCTGCTGTCATGACTTCCACGCACTGAGTTGTTCGCGGATGGCAATGATTGGTCGCTTTTGATGCAACGTGATTGGTCGATGGTGTGAATATTGTGGTACTTAGTGGCCAGCCAATCAAACGAGCGGAACAATGTGCGTGTGTGACGGGGTGGGACGTTTTCGCGGCCGCAATTTTACGATAGGGAATCGCACAGTCACGGGATACTCCAGCAAATGGGTACACCACCGACGTCTGGCTGCATGTGCTCTAATTTGTGGACCGATGAGGGCCAGCAATCATCCTTCTTACGTGATCCTCTTGCCTGCGCCACCTCGTCAGTGTGCAATCAAGCTAAATAGTTGTACATTCTTCGGTCCGTCGTGCTGCGCTGAAGGTATTCCCGTTCAATGAGACTCTCAATGCGCAGCTTAATGAGCTGCGGGGACGGCGTGAAGCGACCTGTCATCTGACGAGTCACTTCAGCAATGAGCTGGTTGTGCTGCATCTGCTTCCGTGTCTTCATGATGCGCACGATGGCCGCCTCGACGAGATGCTTACGATCTTCGGCAACTGTAGGCGGAAGCGCGTCGGCAGGGTTGCTTGAGCTCAGTGCCATCGCAGGCAACAGCGACGTCTCTTTTTGTGACACCAGAGGTATTCGGACGCGGTGTAGTTTCGACTTGTAAGCGCCATTCACTGTAAACGCGTCAACCTCCTCATCGATGCGCTTTCCCTTCGAGCTCTTGATCAAAATCTTGTACTTGGGCGTACACAGAGAAATCAAGTGCCGCTTGAGGTCCTTCGCCTCAATACGCGTGCGCTCAACCAGCTCTTTGAAGCGCCATTGAGAACGCTGGTTGAACAGCATTAGGATCACGGCTTGGTACGTCGACACGTTGAGCTCGTGGCGACGCTTCGTATCCTCGACGCTCGCTGAAAACGTGGCGCGGACATCGACGGTGCCCATGTTCGTCATCCATGCCAATTTACGACCATTGTGCCGCGCATTGTAGAAAGAACCGAATACCTGTGTAAGCTGCACAAGCTCTGGCGGGAGAGCACATGCAGGAACCATCTCTGTCGGCCAAAACCCGCTCGTGAGCACGTGAACCGATAGCGGCACCGACGCGATGGATACGTCGATGCCAAACCCACTGCATCTTGTCTCGTAGCCCGACTTCCGGTACAGCTCCATCAGGTCTTTCGATATACTCATATCCTTGAACATACCTTCCAGTTTCGACGTGAACTGGTAGCCACATTCAGCTTTCAGCTTCGAGATCACCAGCTTCTCCGCCTCATCCGACGTGCCACGGCTATTCAGGAGACGCTTGGCAAGCAGCACTTTGTAAAACTCCTCAAACACATCTTTGTCTTGCAGATACCGGAACAGCGCGATCACTTGACTTACGCGCGTATCCATTTCCTCTTCATACCGATTCTTGGAGCGCAGCAGCTCGTCCAAGTAGTGTGCCAAGTATCCAGCACACACCGTGTTTGTGTTCATAAACGATTCAAAACCCTGTTTGATCGCCTTATGGAACTGCGGGTCGTCAAAAAAGCAGTCGGCCAGAAACCCTACAAACTTTTCACGCAGACCAAGCAGTTTGCCTACAAACTGCGACGCATCCACGGATGTCTCGGGACACAACTGCGTCTTCACGACTTCCTCGCCATGAGTTTTGATATACTGCAACACACAATCACTCATCTCCAGTAGCGTGCTCGGCACGCGCCGAAACAGCGAGTACATCCTGCGCAGTGCCAGTGTCTTTCCATCTCGAAAGAGAGCGACACATCCAGAGTGTTCCATATCGACAAGTGCTTTGGCCTGGTTCTTGATCAACTGCGTCTCGACAATGGTCTTCAACTTGTGCTCGGTCGAGACATTCAGGTAGTGCAATACCCGCGCGCCTTCTTCATGCAGTCGTTGCTCAGCTTTCTCCAAGTACTCGGGACACGTGGCAACGTCCAGCATCGTTTGCGCTTCGGCGCGATAAAAGTCGAGCGTCGTCTCGAGGAACGCCTGTTCAAAGTCGTGTTCGTACACTGTGTTCGCGTGCACGCCGAGGTCCACGAGCATCCGGAGCACGCTCTTCATCAGGTCGCGATCAATCAGCTCGCCCTGTCGCTCGCGCTCAATGCTATAGAGCAGTCGAGCCCGTAAGCGGTCCCGCACGCTGTCGTGGCGGACAATCACGTCGCGAAAGATGTAGAGGCCATTGTCGTACACGGGCACTTTGCGCTTCTGCGTGACGTACGTCCTGTCCATGTACATGAGGATGTCCCGCACCATTGTCATGACGAGCTGGTGGTCGAGCCACTGCTGGTTGAGCGTGACGAGCAGCAGCTCGTCCGTGACCGCAGCAACGTGCTGCGCGACGGTCTCCAAGTGCTCCGTGATGACGCCCACGACGCCGTTGTACAGCACGTCGCCGTGTTTGTGCAGCACGAGGTTGTACGAGTTGCGGTAGAGCTCTTCGAACGACAAGAGACTCGCGTTGTGCGAAAAGATCTCGTAGATGGCCGTGCGGAGCGACGCCCAGATCTCGTGCGCGCGCGTGTGGTCCATGCCCAAGTGCTGACGGTACGGCTTGATCACGAGCTTCTTCATGGCGACACGAGAGAGCGAGAGCGAGAGACGAGCGAGAGAGAGGACAGAAGACGACGACGACAGGAGAAGGACGTGGCGAGGTGGCGGTCAGAGCAGGGTGGGGTGGTACGCTGTACCGGAGCAAGCGGACGTACCGGTGGGCATACCGGTAGTGTTGACACGCGCGCGTGGTCGCATCGATACCGGTGGGCAAAGCAGTTGCTGGCGTTGCAACCGTATGATCGCTCGAGGGATGGGGTACACAGCTGGAACGAGCGAGAGATTCGAAAAACAGATTGTTCAGACCGTGTGGGCGTTGAGCGTCTGCCACGGACAGGTTCGTATCGCGAGGGACCTATTCGATCTCGGATGGCTTCGCAGGTCCTTCCCTCGATCGCCGAGAGTTACGAGTTTGTCGATTCGTTCGGACAAAGTGTCGGCAGTTGCAACGGGTGTGGACAAAAGCTCGTGAGCAGGTCAACGGTCCCGCTCGGTACGTCTCTTTCGTTGCACGCTTGCACCTAGTCGATCCAATTTCTTCTACACCCGACACATCTCTCTTGTGTTAGCGTTGGCCACTGGGAACTTCAGATGGTGGCTCGAAGACCGATGTGGATCGCCCTTGTTCAGCTGTATAAACATGACTGGTTTGACGAGACACGGACGGCCTTGTCGCTGGTTACGACCTCTTCTCGTTCCAATCGCTACACCTTTGCTGACAGCGAGAGCCAAAGCAGTGCGGTTCACTGTTGTGTCGACTGCTGCTGCCAATCGGTTCTTCGCCAACGCTCCGTACGCTGCCAGTAACGGATAACTGATGAGCGTCTCCGAGTGACGAGTCCTGATCGAGAACAGGAGGTCGAGATAGCTCAACGCGAGCATCTCGCGACAGAGTCTGATGTCCTCGATCGTCCAGTCTCATCGGCATCCGTCGCTTCTATCAGATCATTCCAATCGTTGCGCTACACGCGATGGGCCGTGCACAGCGTAGAACTTCCGTCGCCAGTATGACTGCACGCTCTATCGTGCATACACCTGAGAGTAAGCAGTACGCGGTCAACTGGAGCAAGTGTCATCAGCGCGACTGCATCCCATGTTGGCGACGATTGTGTCTGGGTGCCGAAAAGCCCACACATCGTTTCTACAAGTGAACTGCTGCAGCATGAAAACGATGCAAACATCCACACACTCGAGACACAGAGTGAAATGCGACCAATACAGTTGTTACAGCCGCGTTGGCTTACCTTGGCTTTCTACGTGTGCTTAGGCTTCTTGTTCCTCGCATCTGGAAAGTTCGTCATGCCCTGACCGCTACCCATCACACCCACGCGGCCTTCCACCGTTTGCGGAGAGGCAAACATACTCGAGCCTCGTTTGGACAGCACCCCGCTGACCCCTTTCTTTATGCCCTTCTTTTTGGCCTTGTGCTGGAACGCCTTCCAGTCGTGCTGCTTGAGGTTGCGCTCATTGTCGATGTTCTTGTGTCGATTCAAGCTCTTGATCGCACGCAAGCGTTTGCGCTTGCGCTCCTTCTCGGCCTCGGAGTCGGAAGGCAAGATCTGCAAGTTCTCGGGAATTTTGATGGGCTTGTGAATTACCACAGGTGTCACTTTCGGTGCTAGCGCGGCAGCAGCGCCATCAACTGGATCCGAGGTACACGTCTGAGCAGTCGCACCGTCTACTACCGTCTCTGACGAATCGAGTGCAGGTCTCAGATACTCATACGGCACTTCTTCCGAGTTGCCATAGCCGTCGAATAGCACCTGGAAGCCTAACGGCGTGACTTTCGTGACCGAGCACGAATATACCACCGCGTCAGCATAGTACTTCGCTCGACATTTAAACCCCTCGGTGATCACTTCCTTAGCTGGTAGCTGTGCCGCCTCTACTGCATCAACGTCAATGCCTCTCATCTCGTCCTGCTGAAGCACCGCGGACGTACCGAAACTGAAAAACGTGACGTTGTAGTGTCCGTCGCTTGTTACTGACTCCACGTGTGCTGGATACCACACGCCTTGCTGCAGCGCTTCCACCGCTGTGTTTGGCTCAAACTCGATCTCTAGAGGAACAAAAACAAAGAGCAAAGTGTCAGCACCTCGTTGTTTGTTCGCAGTAGAAAGAGAGAGCACGCCAGGAGTCGCATGTACCGAGCTGTGGCGGCTCTTGACGACGTTCCTGGACCGCTTGTGGCGCTATCACTTGGACGGATGACGCCTTTTTGGTCTCGTTTTTCACCTTGATGTCAATCTGTAGCCATGATACCGACCAATTAGCACCAATCATAGGGTCACACCCGTCGAGATAGCTGCAACCCCACAAACGCACCGTCTCTTTCGTGAGCTCAATGACCTCGACGAGGTCTTTGGCGATGCTCAGAAACTCTGCATTCGTCGCATCGCTCTGCAGCAGCTCCTGGATGTTCTGCAGCTGCTCGGTGAACGTCACAAGTCGCGCCTCGAGCTCGTCGAGACTCGCGTCTGCCGCCGACATGTGCTGTCAAGTTCGACACAAGACGCAGTGATTGTATTTCGTCCAATCACGATACGATCGAAGGTCATGGCCGTGTATACTGCTCGACGGTTTATTCGTGTGCACCACATGTACACGTATACCCACGTTCCCCACACGCACACAAACGCCGAAAGTCGAACCCGCCACTTTCGAGCGTAAGTGCCCCTCCACCGCTCGTTGCAATTGGAAGTATCGACCCGACTAACGTGTATTTGACTGCTTACCTAACGTGGATATCCAGCATGTCGTCGAATCCAAACGACGACCGTCTGAACGTCATTGACCTGTCCGGAACGCTGCTGGACCAGAGCTACGTGGTGCAGCTGTGGCTACTCAGCCACTGCATCTTTGTCTACATGGGCACAGCAGCCGACAAGCCCCGTCTTGCGTCCATGTCGACGGCAATCACGACTCGCTATAGTCCCATGCCGCTCATCACGTCCGTTATGGGCGCGTCGGACACGGACGAGCAGCAGATCGCCCAGAGACTCGCGCGACGCACGGGACGCCAATGTTTTGTGTCGTGCCAATTGCCCAGCGACGTGCCTGAGCTGTTTGTAGTCGTTGAAAGACACGTTATCAAGCGCTTGACGGAAGAAGGAGTAGTGCTTGTGTGATCGGCGGACTCTGTCATTGCCGGATAAACAACCCATAAGAGAGCCGAGATACGAGCGTTATCCTGTATTTGCGTAATGGCTGGTGGACCATCGACATGCTGATCACGAAAAGCCTCGAGATTCGACTTGCAGCGCATGTACAGAGCGACAAAGTGCGTCGACGCAGCTTTTCATCCGCAGATATGTGTCGTTCTTGTAAACCGCACAAGACGGGCGAAGACACTGTTGCAAGCGTGAACATATGATCCACGTCCGAAGCAGCCAGGAGAGCATCGGCAGCTTCACAATCCTCGTCGATGTGTTTCGTGCTGAGCTCAAAGCGCAGAAACAGCGTGTGCGCGACTACATTGAGGGTCTTGTGTGGAGCTATTGCAGCTTGTCAAGAGCTATTGCAGCCTGCACAATGCTACTGAGGCTGCAGAAAGCAGCGAGTCAGTAGCTGCACTGGATCAGCGCTTGAGCAAATGTCAAGTCAGTGCTCCAAGCTAACAGGCGTCTGTCCCTCCAGCTCACAGCTTCTCTTGACAGTTGACACACTTTGCTGCGCACTGTCAGACGGGAACAGCGACGATCGATGTCCAGCCGACTAGAACTCGACTGCCACGTGCCAAACGAGTCGACTCACGCCAATCCACCACTGGAAACAAAGAGAGTAACGGACATGAGCTCTTCGTCGTGACGAATTCGATCGAGCACCACTTGCAGCTGCTGCCGAGCGTCGGGAATCGCCACGAGCGCGTCAAACCAGACGAGCAGCCGGTAGTCGGTGCTACACATACCCACAAAGAGACCCGTGTCGCTGCGCTCGTACACCATTCGTGCTGCCGTATCGTCTTGCAAAGCTAAAAGACGTTCGCCCAAGACTTGACTCGCTCGAAGGCTGTGCGGGTCAGCTGGACTCGGGAACATCAAATGGTGTACCGTGGCGTACGCATTCAAGAGCTGCAGACGCGTGTGGAAATCCGCATCGTCGAAGGGGAACCCCAACGCAGGCTCAGCACACTCCCCCGTGAGTTCGTTTTTGTAGATGAAGTGGAGCAGCAACGGCAGATCTCGATGGGGCCGCCACTCGGAATGGTTCCTCAGTGAAGCTCGGATATCGTCCATAGCCCCACTGTCCTCGAGACGCCGCGCAACAAACACCTTCTTCGCCTGAAAGTGTGGACATTGCTCGGGTGAGGGCTGACTGCTTAGTAGCAGCAAACACACGTCTGTCGTCAAGAACGCCACGTACGCATACAGGAACCCTCTAGGCATACAGACAGAGTGCAAGTAGATCAATCGAAGCCACAAAAAACGTCAAGCGTCAGCACGTCAACAAACGGATGAAACCCATGAACAACTTCAACTATAACAGCAACAAGTGCTCATCGACTCGTCCGACGATCACGTACCGAGGACTGAAGTGGGGCAGGCAAACGGGTGTCCACGTTTCGGACGCTGCCAGTGACGGCGCGTGGTAAACAAAGTTGATGAGCAGCAAAAGGTCTGCAAACCAAACGAGTCGACAGCACACAAACACGCGCACTTGTCAGTACAAATAGTCTCTCCACTTATCTCTCCGCTGACCAACGCCATGCACAGCCATCAGAAGCCATCTCTTACCATCCACGCGCATGCTAAACTGCTTCTTCTTTGGCTGCGCGATCGCCACCACCTTTTCCTTGGCTAGCAACACCGCACAGATCATCGCAGACGTCAAGTGCTCCGTCTCTGCTTCACCTGCTGCCGCCAACATCCTCGTGACTTGCCGTCGTCTCGCGAGTTGCAGCCGAACGAACGGCACGCCAAAGTCCTTGAATCGCAGCGTCGGATGCACTGCCCAAAGTCCCGTCAACGACCGCGTGACTCGCTCCGTTCCATGGAGACGTTGGCGCAAGTCGTAGTTTGGCTGTCTCTGCAGCACATGGAGCCCCTGATCGCTCAGTAGGAACCGAAGCTGACTCTGCAGCAAGTGCAGCAGATGCTCAAGACATGTCACTGAGAAGCTCGACGTGTTGTCAGTCTGGTCGCTGTAAACATCCCGTTCAATGGCCGCAAATGTGAGCGTTTGGGTGCTGTAGAACACACAGCGACAGCCGTGACTTTGAAGCTCCTGCAGCTCTTCCTGTTGCGTACAGGCCACAAACGACAAGAGGCCTTGAAGTGAACTTGCGAACGAAGTGGCGGACGGCATCTCGTCGTCTTCGGTTGATGAGCACGTCGGGGCTGTTGACGTAGCCGAGACCATGGCGTGGAACACGGGCTTGCCCGACGTGGAACACACGACGACGGTTAGTTCTAGCATGACCAGAAGCTCGGGCGAGAGCGGACGTAGAGAGGGGAAATGGCGTCACGGAGTTGCAGGCAAAAGTAGACCCGTCCAGACGGATCGCGTCACGTGCGACTCGCAATCGCCTCTGCTTCAGCTTCCAATAGTTGAAGTGGTGCTACTGGTGATGCAATTGGTGGTGACAAAGGAGCGCAACATCTCGTTGCGAACATATGTTAGACACACATAGACACACACATGAGACCCGTGCTGTAATCATCAGGATGCGATCCGTCGAGACTTCGTACGATTCCATGTCGCCATCACCCAGTGCTGTAGAAGGAAGCAAACGCCCATTCATTGTACATCTCACGCACACTTTCGCTTCAGCGGGTGCTACGAAGCAGGAGCTTTATTTGCGCTGCGCTGCAGCTCGACGTCGGATTTCTTCCCAAGTAGTAGGCTTGACGGGATCATCGCGACTGCCGGCTGCGTCGAAAAAGTAGTCGTCTTCGTCGTGACGCAGTGGCGCTGCATTCGTGTCGGGTTGCGAGCGGCGAGGATCACGCGTAAAATGCGCATACGGGTCACGAGAAAGTGGAGTGTCGCGGTCGCCGTTGTCCAGAGCGTCATCCGACGAGGGCTTTGCACCGAAAAAAAACGGTGAGCGACTTACGCTGTGATCTGGCTCTCCGACATCTTCATCGCTGGAGTCTTTCTTGGTACGCGACGGATCGAGGCCCGTGGTCGAAGAGGCGCTCGTGTCGATTGCGCTGTCAAAACGGCGAGTCGGATGTGGAAGGCCTTTTGACGGGGTTTTCGGTCCAAGACCATGCAGCGCGTCGGCGTCATCGACCCACGAGTCACTACGCCACAGAAACCATAACAGCAAGTGAGGACTCGCTATACCGAAAGCACATCGATCACATGGCAGACGAACGTTGCGGCTAGTGAGTTTTTGAACTTCTCGTTGAGCTCTTGCACGAACGAATTATCCGGTATTTTGGTCGTCAAACTAGAAATCGCAAAAGTCAGCAAAAAAACAAGGACGCCATGCATCGTCATAGTAACAGAATCCGAAAGACTAACGTACATGGTCCTGGCATGAGTTGCAAAAGGCGACTTGTCCGGTGGCAGCATCAAGAGATCCGAGAGCAAGTTTCGACGAATACTTATCACGCCATACGAAGCTCCAAAGAGACCACCAGCTACATGCAGCATTTGCAAGCATGTGAGTGATTGTTACATCCGTATAGGATCCGTAGCACAATCAAAGACAGGTACTTTCGCTACTCACACATCATTGCAAACGCCCCGACCAGTCTTTGCTTGTTCTTCGACATCTTCCACAATCCCGCCATGACTGAGGAGCCAGTGATCGCCCCCATAGCAGCACGACGTCGACCCTTGGTAGCGTAATGCATCAGGACCTCTCTCTCCGCCTCGGTTCTGTGTTTCACATCGACCACAAACGAGACTCAGTAGAAGGAATGATCGCACGTTCTTCGCATAACACAACGTCACGTACTCGCCAATCACAGAGGCACCTTTTTCCTTGGTCAGCTCTACGCTCAGCGTGCGAATAGCGTCGTCCACTGCCACTGTCGATAGCATCTCTTCCTTAGCAGTGACAGTACGGATGATGGCGGATTGCGGAGACTCGATAGAGGCACTCGAGATGATTGAACGAAAAACGAAATCCTGTTATGGACCAATAAACGAGCTATTCCTGCGACAAAGAACGGCTACCGCCGAATTAACTGAACGTGGTGAGATCCAACGTCATGGATCGCGATTGCTGCGAGGTGATGTCTTTGCAAATTCCGACAAGTGCATCGGCCTTTTCGTAAAACGAGTCCTTCAGCGAGATCACAACACACTGGAAGTCGCAGTTCGCGATGTACGTCGACACCTTGTTCACGTTCACATTGTCCAGCGCAGCATCCACTTCGTCGAGCACAAAGAATGGTGTCGGGCGGTAGTTGTGGATCGCAAACAGCAAAGCGAGAGTCGCCACCGTCTTCTCACCTCCTGACAATTGCTCCATCTCACGGAAGCGTTTCATTGGCGGCATGGCGTTGTACTTCATGCCGCTCAAGTATGGCTCTTCCAAGTTCTCCAAGCTAAGGTACGCCGTACCTCCTAGCGGATGCTTCGAGCTCTTTGTGAGCTGCTTGTACGTTGAATCAATCACGCCCGAAACGTGGTTGAACGCTTTCATGAAGCGCTCATACCGAGCAAGCTTGACCTTTTCAAACTGCGACGCCGTTCGCAGAGTCCGCTGCTTGATTCGGTCTAGTTCCTCTTCTTCCTTGCCGATTCGATGTTGGATCACGTCAAACTTGTCGAGCGCGCGCATGTTCGGCTGCATACGGTCCAAATCAGTAAGCAGCAGTCCAATCCGCTTCTCGTAATCGGAGTTGATCTCGTCAAATTCCTTATCGTCGACCACGACGTGGGCGTCTGGAAGAGCTGAGAAATCTACTTCTTGGTTTGCCGCATCCTTCCCTAGTAAGAGCTCAGCATCGTCAAGGCAGCGTGGCCCCCCGGCATCCTCCATCTCAGCATCCTCGGAACCGCGGTCAGATTGTTTGCGAGCAACAGTGGGTATTGTGACTTGATCCAACGAAGCGCGCTTGAATGTTTCAGTCTTGTGGTCTTTCAAACGCTCCAGCACCGTCTCCTCCGATGCAATCCTCCGCCGGATTTTGCCTGCCCGCTCCTCGTACTTTGCCTTCTTGCTGCCGGTCTCACGAAGCGCTTTTTCCAGTTCGTCCACCGCAACAATCAAGCTTTTGCGTTGCCCCTCTAGCTCTTTTTTCTCTTTCGATAATGCCGCCTCTCGTTTTAGGAGCCCAGCTTCTTCTTCTGATAGCTGTCTCAAGCGCTGGTACTCTCGGGCTGCTTTTTCTTTTGCTGCAAGCATAGGCTGACCAAAGTCTTGTGACTGTAGATACTCGATCTGAATTGCGATACAAAATAGACAATGTTAGCCATTGGCATACGCACTGCAGTGCAACAACCATACCTGTGCGCACAGCTTGGCTTCATGCTCCGTAATTTTGCGGCGCATTTCTAGAGCTTTGAGGTGTCGATTGAGCACGGTCTCCTCGTAGACACGGATACTTTCGACACCGACCGCTTCACTAAACTCTGCGAACATTTCGTCCTCTGCGCCATTGATTCGTTCTTGGAGCGCTGTAATCTTGCTCGTTCTGGACGCTATAGCAGCGTTGAACTTGTGTAGCTCTGGATCGATCACTTTTGCGACTCGTTTCGCCGCATCATCGATTCGTGCTTGAATCTTAGGTCTTTTCCCTTGTGTAATCACCAGGTCAGCCTTCGCACGACTAAGCCGGCTATGCAATCCTTCCAGTTGCGTACGCAGTGTCTGCAACTTCGCATATGATGCACCATGTCGATCCAACGCGCGCAACTCATCGACCAGACCATCCTTTTGTTGCTGTAAAGCCTCAACCTCCTTCTCATCCCATCGACCAGCTCGGCGCGAGTCACCTTGCGTCTTGCCACCTGTCATACTTCCGTTTTTGCTAACCACTTTCCCGTCCAGTGTCACTGCTTTCACTTTTTCATTCTGACGGAAACACAGGTCGCGAGCGATGTCTATCGACTCGCAAACGACAGTGTCGCCAACGGCATAGTGCAGTGCAGGCTCGATATCTGCATCGCATTCGATCACGTCCACCACCATCTTGATGTTGTTTCCGAGACCACGGAATCGCTCATTAATGGGTTTGACTCGAATTCTGTCCAACGGTATGAACGGGGCACTGCCTGCACGGAAATCACGTAGGTACTGGATGCAGTCTTGGCCGGTTCGATAGTCGCTCACCACAATTGCGTCCATGTGCTTTCCAGTAGCCACAGTTACGGCCATGTTATACTTGCGTTGTATCGGTTTACAAAGGTCCACAAGACGACCACGAACACCAGGATACAATCGCTTCAAAGTCTCGAGCGTCTCTGCTCTGCGTGCTTCGGCTTGTGACTGCCGCTTATCGTCTTTGAGATCGCGCAACTTGTTGCTGACGCGAGTCAATTGGTCAGACAGCTTTTCCTTCTTGCGTGCTTGACTTCGATTCTCTTTATCGACCGTCTGCAATGTCGCTTCGACTTGAGCGATATCATGCTCCGTGTCGGCAATGACCTGTTGCATCGTGACGATTCGTTCGTCAGCTACTTTCCGGTCCTCGGTAAGCATATCCACCATCTTCAGATTCTCCTGGCGGTCTTGAGTCAACGTCTCGACTTTGTTTTGATCCGCCGTCTGCTGACGCAAGATGGACTCCAGCTCGTTTCGCAATGCACTCGTCTGGACTTGAACTGCTTCTTTCAGTCGATGGTACTCTTCCAAGCGTGAGCCTTCGAGAACTAGCGCTCCATTTTCACCACCTTGACCCGCGCGTTTCTGGTTTGCGTCCAGTTCTGCCTTTGCTTTTTCCAGTTCCTGCAAATCTCGTTTCAAGTCCTCCACTTCAGTCGACTTTCCCTCGTGCCGCCGCTTCATAGTCTTCTCGGCTGCTTCTGCCTCGGCAATCTTTTTCCGAGCATACGTGATCTGCTCACGCAGCTTGAACAATTGCGGCTGGATATCCTCCACCTCGTTCTGCACAGCTTGGATCTGTCCACGATTGACTTTTACGTCCCGAAAACTCGCGCTCAGTTGTTTCTTCTTTTCATTATAAACCTGCGCAACGTCCTCTCCCTTCTGCAAACAAACACGATTCGCTTCTAGGTATTGCCGCACAGTTTCTTCGCGCTGTTTGATATCATCCTCGACCTGGAAAAGCTGCCACAAGTAGTGCTCGACGCGGAGAGTGTTCTACGAGACAACAAACGATACAAACACAACCCAAAGCATGGCCGAATAAGCAAATACTACAAAAGCACCGCCATCCGCGCACGACGTCACGTACCAGAGCTTCCAACTTTCCTCGAAACAGCTCTGCCTCTTCCTTTTGCTCTCTCACCTAACAACAACAAAAACGACGACCCCATCAAGTTGAGCCACAAAGAGATACAATAGTCAGCAGCAGCAGCAGAAAATCTCGAAAAAAAGCTACAACAACACCATCATCAACAAGCACAAAATGCAACTGACACGAACGCACGCACCAGTCTCTTCTCGGCCACCAGTCCTTTCTTCCGCTTGTACGCAAAGATCGTGTCTTCTTCGGCAGCGTTCTTTGCTTCGAGCAGCTGGTCGTACTCGGTCTTGAGCTCGTCCGACAGGGAAATCTGCTCAAAGAGCTTTGTCAGCTCGGCCGGACGTTTGCTTGCAATGGACTCGACGTCTCCTTGGAACACGAGAAAGTTGCGGGCTTTCACCAAGATGCCAATGTCCTTGAGCTGGCTCTGGTACGTCTCGGAGCTCACGTCGTGGCCGTTGAGGCGGTACGACCCCACGCCTTTGTCCGACAAGAGCCGCGTGAATGTGAGCTCCCGCGGACTCAGAATCAGATTCGGAGTCTCAGTTGGACTCAGATGCTGAGTCGACACCGACTTGGCCGGCAGCGTCTCATCGGCTGCCAGCGCGTACACGAGCGTGACGGACGCCGAGCGCTCCGTGTCCGTTACGTCGTCGCCTGGAGCGCGGTGTATCAGGTCTCGCAGCTGCGTCGAGCGCAACTGACGCGAGTGCACGCCCAGTACAAAGGAAATGGCGTCCATGAGGTTGCTCTTGCCGCTGCCGTTGGGGCCCACGACGGCCGTGAAGCGATGGAACGGACCGATCACGTGCGAACCGCCGTACGACTTGAAGTCCTTGATCTCGAGACGCGCAATGTGTCCCATGCTGCGCTATACGTCCAGAGAGAGAGAGAGGAAACCGCGCGGGACGACGGGGTCGAGTGCGCGCGCGTGCAATGAAATGCAAGATGGAGGGCGTTATGCAGTGTCGGGCAACAATGCGTCGTCTGGGGTCGGTCGAGGAGTACCGGTATCCTATCGATATGCCGTATGGTGGTGCAGTGGATCATTTGTTTTGGACATGGAATGGTAACATGTGATAGCGGATAGGACTCCTTTGATGACGCCGTTTGACTTTACTGGCAGAAAAGACCTAAAAATGCTGACGTGATGTCGGTGCAACAGTCGCAATAGAGAAGGGCACTGTCGGAGACTGTTACTACCTTCGTGCATGATGTTACGCATGCCCAACTTCTTACGCATTGATACATTGCTTTCTTCCTGTGTAGCAAGATGAGCGTATATAGAGATCACGTACGCTGCGCAAAAAATGTGAGATTGCTTCTCGCTCTTTACGACTACTCGCTGTCCATTAATTACTCCTTAAACTTGTCGTTGTAATTAACGTCTACTGTGCAATATGAGCTGATGTGCTTATGATCGCGGTACGGTAATGTACCATGTGCATGCAAATCACTTCGACTAGCAACAAATACTTGGCTTGACTCTACTCTTTGGACTGCAGCTGCACGTGGGCGACGATGGAGCTTTTTCGCGAGTCGAAAGTGATCACACGTGAAACAAGGTAGACCCGCACGATGACAAGCACGTCTTGATCATGTACGTCATGTCAATGTGTGCCCTGTGCGGGTATCGCAAATTGATGCGCAGGAGATGCTGAGACTAGCAAACGGTGCGCGGGACAAAGCGAGCTAACATGTAGTGCCCGATACATGGCTGAGCGCGTAAAACGTACGAAGATGCTTGCGAACGTACCCAAGTATCCCTTCTGTGACCTGCGGTGGACGGAGTAGCTTGTGTTGTTACGACATGTTGTCCAAGTATAGTACACGAGGTGACATAAGGGTGCATACGGCTCGTTCCAAAGCTTTCGCGCACTCTAATTGTACTTGTTGGTTTTTCCGAGAACGATGTGTCTCACTTCGTTCGATGGTATAACACTCGAGCTTTCCAGTAAAAGATCAGCGCTTGCACAAGAAATGACACACCACGAGACGTATGGCAACTCAGACGGCGACAAGGCCGCAGACGTTACGCTCGTCATGAGTTCGGGTGGCTATGCGTTCATAGCGAGGCAGGTACGTCAGCATCCGCGCTGATCATTCGAAACCGATAACGACTTGCAAAGTTACGAGAAGGATGTGATCCAGTGAGCGCTCGCTGACGCAATGATCATTGACACGATGCTCAATGACGCATGACCGAGATCATGGTCGCATCGATCGAAGCTGTTGCCGCAAAGCTCATGGCTACGCCCTCACATGCAGCATAAGGACCGAAGTGACGCTGCCATCCGATGGGGGTGTATAGATACAGCAAGGACATGCAAAATAAGGTCGTACTTAGATCTATCGCTCTACATCCTGACACTAAGTGATGTCACGTGCGCACTTTTTCAATCGAGCTCATTCATGGTTGCGGACACTGAACCTACACGTCTGAAACGGTGAGGCAGACAACACGGATCCGTCCTATCGACAATCCGAGCCTCGTTCATGTCCATCGAGCGTTATGTAAGGTTCGTGCAATTGTGCCAAAAGGAATGTACAGTGGTGATGGACTGAGTGCGTGCATTGTGAGTGCACCCCTATTCGACACCTCGGCTTCAGACAGTATGCACTCGTCACCCACTAGGCGTCAAAAGACGTTGGGTCTATTCCATGTTACATTATCCTTGTCCATGTTGCTGCAAAGAATCGTAAAGAGAGCTAGTGTCTTCGTTTGCTTTGCTGACGCCATGTAGCTGCACGTGTGTGCGCCAACGACTGGAAACATTGACTCAGTGACCCACCATGCCTGTAACAAACACGATACATCTCAGCGCTGACAGAGCTGTATCAGTACGAGAGCGGATCAAAATCGCAGTCCATGGTACGATGCACCACCAAGCACTATGGTTGCCCAAGATGTAGCTTGTCCTTGGCCACCGCGTCAGGATCTGCATTCAACGGTCTACGCAGACTCTATTTTGCTCGACGTATTTTTGGGCGTTACAGACGTCTCGCTCGCAAAAGCACGCGACTTGTCCGCTATGTGCTCCGAGTACAACACGTGTCTACTTGCTCGCTCATGCGCTCGTGGCGCATGCACCGCTTGCAGTGTCACGTAAAAGGATGTTACTGCTGATGGCATCGGTCATCGTATGACCTCTTTTTTCCGTTTCCAGCAAAGAAGTGTCAACCCACAACCAGACGGCGAGATGAAACGCCTTGTGTTGACTTATCTGTCATTCAAGACGTCATGTCGCTGTCGCTCACTTTGCCACTAGACCTCAGTAAGTTCATGATTACTGACTGCACTGAATGAAGATTGAGCTCTCATGTAGAGATCGCAAGGAGCCGTTCGAGTGTGTTTGCCAACAAAACAAGTGCCAAGTTTGCAG